GGGCCCCGAGCCCCTGGGCCAGTCCGCGTCTGCCCTCGTCAATACCCGTCGAGAATTCGATACTTGGCTTTGACGTAGCCTAGGGGGTCAAAAAGGCGGGAAAATCACGTTACGTAACACCTGCGTCACCTCTTATCTTGAACGAACACTGATCTATAATATTTCTGTATGGTATTGGCGATTGTATAAGTAATTAATTTTAATTTTTATCTTTGTTGCAGAATCCCCTCCACCTCCTTACTGTCGTTTTAGTGCGGAACGGCTTAAACCGGAAGGTGAGTCACGTATTCATCATTATCATAACCTAGCTTTTAAATTACTTTTCTCGTACTTCGGGATGGAACAAAGACATAAAGACGGAGTGCTCGTATCTAAAAGCACGGGGAAGAAGTGAAGCCATTCTGGCGCTGTGAATCCATGCGCGGGAAACGTTTTGATTTGAACTTGTCCTCTTCATTTTTTCCTTATCTCTTCTTCGAATTTCATTTTAAATGTCTAAAACGAACAGATAAATAAAGTTGGGGTGGTGAATTTTTATAATAAACCTATTTTGGCTTGGTAACAAGGAGGAATCTCAGATAAAGTTAGTTTTTCTGCTGCTCATAGAGGCTCCGTCAAAGGTGGCTTTATTCTCTTCTTCTAGTGCTCCGTCCTCATGTCTTTGGGATGGAACGATATGTTTTATGAGCGCAGTTTTAGCGGCAGATCGCTCCGCAATTTGGGAGCAATCCTAATCGCCTTCCGCCGCGCCGCTTTTGTGGGCGCTTCTTCATTTTCTTGGCGCCTGAGAAAATGAATTTTTACGGAGAAATTAAAATAAACTTATCGGTGTCACAGCACCGTTATTTTCCCCGGCTCTGACAGTCCGTCATGCGACTTCAAAACGAGTCGAGAATCGAAAAGGGCTCTCGGCAGCTCCGGTAGTGGAACAGTGGAGTTTCAAAATTCTGGTGTTAAGTAGTTAGCTCGCTATCTTGCACATGTGTGCGCACTTATGCCCGGCGTTGCCACATTCTTATCGTAATTTTATCGTCAGAGTTTTGATACTCTTCTTTAGAAGATGGAATTGAGTTACAATTAGTAGAAAATAAGTTGATTATCTCCCCACCATGATACTACTGAGAAGCTCAATATAATGAGAGCATCTCTACTGGTTTCGCTCATTGACTAGTTCCATTGGGTCAGGGGCTCGTGACAGTAGGAACTTCTGTGAGTAGAATCATCCCGAAAGAAATTCCTCGTCTTGTGGATAATGTACGTTTTTCAAATTACTCCAGGCTAAAATCTCTCATACTTTTCTCTTTATTCCCTTTTTTTCTGAGTCATCGTGAAGTAAACATCGTTGATCAAAACGAAACTTTTACCCATCATTCCGTGTCTCATTACTGATTTGGGTCGACGCTCCGTATTTTTAGACGACTTTGGGACTGATTTTCCGGCGATTTCTCTGATTTCAGTTGGGCTTTTGGCAAACCGCAAAAGACTAACTTTCTGACGTCAGTGAGGCCAAGCTCCTTATTTTCTGGCTACTTCATAGGTAACTGATTTTCAGTCGATTTTTCAAGCGTCAGTTGGGCTCTTGCTCCCTACTTTTAGGCGACTGTAAATCTGATTTTTAGGCGATTTTTCAGGCTTCAGTTAAGCTCACATCCCCTTTTTTTCAGGCAACTTTATAATTACCTATCGGAAATTTTTCAAGCGTCAGTTGGGCTCTTGCTCCCTAATTTGAGGCAACTTTATAACTGATTTTTAGGCGATTCTTCGGGCATAAGTTGATCTCACACCCCCTATTCTTAGGCAACTTTATAATTACCTATCAGCGATTTTTCAAGTGTCAGTTGGGCTCGTGCTCCCTATTTCTAGGCGACTTTATTTCTGATTTTCTGGCATCAATTGAGCTCACGGCCCTATTTTCAGGCGACTGTAGACTGATTTTAAGTCGCTCGGCTGGGTTTAAACGCCGGCGTCGGTGACGCTGTTGCGATCTGGCAGCAGAGGCGTGGACATATGCATGATTGATGACTCGTTGGCGCGAATTGATGGATGATGCTCATCGGCCCTCGTGCTTTGGTTTGCCTTTCTGCGGTGGGAAAACTCCCCGCGCCGCCGCGCTGCTACCCTGCATCCTGTCTCTTTTTTCCTTTTTCTTTCTCTTCTTTTTCGAGCGCGCTCATCCATGACGTCACGCTCGCTCGCCTCCGGCTGCTCGGGCGACTCCAAGAACCGCTGGTCGTGGCCCGGAGAAATCATTCCTCGACTTTTCAAGAAATTAATCCTCGCAACTGCGGAGCAATAAGATATTTTTCGATTAGTCCTCAAGTCGAAACGCTCTGCATCACTATGGTATTAATCCACGTTTCTGCGTTGTCACGGTCAGGGAATACACTGGATAAAAAAAAAAGAAAAAAAAAGAAAAAAAAACACACATTGGATCTAGAGTCTAGACTCTTGAAAACATTGACAGGAAAAAATGCTCTTGATTCAATCAGATTCAAGCTTAAATCAAAAGGAAATCCGCTCAAATTAAGAGGCTTGGTTCTTGATTTAAGCTTAAATCTGATAGAATCAAGAGTATTTTTTCTTGTCGATGTTTTTAAGAGTCTAGACTCGATATCCATGTGGTTTTTTCCAGTGTACCGGGAAATGTCGGGGAGTTTTAAGTAGTCAGGGAAAATGACGACAATGTCGAAAATTTCAGGGAAAATCCGTTAAATCTCCTTTCTTTGCGCTCTGATATGGGTTTGAGGTTTCGAACTACAAATGTTGAATGAAAACTATTTTCAATCATGTCTTCTTAACCATTTGCCATATTTTCAATGCAAAGGTACATTTTGGTGAAAAATTAAATCGTTTGAGTCAATTTTGCAACCTCGGAATTGAGTTATGTTCCCTCGTCCGGGAGGCGGCAAGATGAGCCCGCTTTATTCAAATTTTGGAAATGTGACCCAAATTTGTTCGAATTAAATGATGAAGGCGTGTACTCTCCCATCTAAGCAATGTAAATGTTTTTTATTTTGTCACGGTTCGTTCGGAAGATCCACCGAGTCTTATCAACTTAAAATTAGTGACTTTTATTCAAGATGTAAGGAAAATCTGAAATGAAATTCAAGTCGAAATTTCGATTTTTGTTTTTTTCCGTATCGGGCGGTTAAATTGACAGATTTCGAAGGCCCAGTCGGTTTCGGGTCGTGGCCCCGAAATAGAAACGGAAGCCCAGCATGGGATCTCGGAAGAGGGTGCGTTTCCCGGCGATCTGGCAACCGGGCGTCTATATTTAGTCGCAGTCGTCGCGGCGCTCAGCTCAGACGAGCGACGAGCACTCCTGCCGCAAGCCTTGCGCCGCGTCACACTCGCCAAATCGCCAGGCGCCGCTTTTTCACTCCAGTTCGCGCAGGATTTTCAACAAGTCCGGTAACAGTACTGATTTTTTAAGGGCGCTCCGGAAGTACTGAAACAGTGCGGAAAATCCTTTAAAAGGTCCGGAAGTTTTTGAAATTTTTTGTCATTTTTATCGCAATTTCAAATTTTTGAAATTTTTCTACTCTCGTAATATGTAGGTACTGAAAAAGTACGAACTTTTTCTGAGGAGGCACTGAAATTCTCGAGAATGTACTGAAAAAGTACTGTAAAAGTACTTATTTTTGACCATCCTGATTTAGTAGACAGTTGACACCCTGACGCAGGATTTTCAAGCTCATCCCTTTACTTAGGTGACGCGTCTTGGAAGCTGGCGAGTTCCAACTGGCGTGCGATGTATCGATGGCCCAAGTCCCTGAAAAAAAACTCCAGCCGTGGAAGCCGCACTTACGGGCTTTATAGACATACCGTCCGCACCCGGAGCAATCTAAGCTACACCTCCAGCACCCGGAACTTCCAGCCTCTGAGCCGGGAACGGACGGTATGTCTCTATAGCCCGTAATTTTTTTACAGTGGTGCGAAGCCGTGTATCTCCATCGGGGTGTTTCAAAATTTCTGCTGTTTTTAATTTCTTTGTAGAGAAACGATGATGTTTCGATGGCCAAAGTACGAAACCACGTATCTCCCTTGCGGTGTTTCAAAATGCCTGCTCCTATTTTTCTTTTTCGAAGAGAAACGTCCTATCTTTGCAGCTTACCTAGGGATCCTTAAGAGAGGGGCCTTAAGGATTTCCCTAAGGATTACCTACCATCCTAAGGACATCGTCATTCTGTCATAGATATGAATGGTAATAAACCGGCCATTCGCAGATCTCATAGCGCCGGGGCGGGAATATATCGTTTGTAATCGGGAGCCGGCGAGAGTGGTGAATTTTGGCAGCGGCGCTCAGGATGATAGCGCCGACGCCTGGCGCCCGCCGCATCACGTCGCCCGACGCCGGAGCCGCAGCGCCGCAGCGCCGCGACGCCAACTCGACCATTCCCGTCGAATAATCTCTAAAGCGCCCCACGAACCAATAAACAAGCTACGAATTGAAGCCATCTTACACAAGATTTTAAAAAAAAAAATCATTTAGAACCTGCGGTACGGAAAAGATATTAACCCTTGACAATGAAAATTTGAATTCCCCTCGCTCTCAAGAAAAGCAGTAGGTTACTTTAATCAAATCACGCGCTTCTTGAGTCAACGATGCTCCTCCTTCACCTTGTATTTTACAAAGCCTTAACAACGTGCAACAGCTGAGCCGAACCACCGAGATTGAAGTTGTTATATTTTCACATCGCAGGGACTGTTGCGGTAAAGTTAAGTGCGTGATTTGACTCGCGTAGATTTTGTTTTTCCACGAGTGGAAGGTTTGAATTTTTGCAGTAAGAAACATCAAATAACTTGGTTAGGAGTTAAATCCAAAATTCTAGGATTTTCGTCGCGTGAATCGTGTTCTATGTAAAATTTTGGTTGAATAACGCATATTAGAATGCTTGTATTCGCACCATTTCCACCTACATTGGCCCATTCTACCGCACCCCGAGTACATAGCACTGCTCTGCCGTGCTAAGCCAAAACATCGTATGAGCATTCGAACGTTGCCAAATTTCCCCTCAGAAAGTATTTTATTTCGAAGTATGTTATGAAATATTTCCTTGCAATGTTCAGTCTTTTTAGATCTAATTCCAGACAAAATCTTTTTAAAAACCGGAAGAGAAATGTTCACAAATCCTAAAAATTCGTGATTGGGCGAAGGAAATTTGGCAACGCCTGATGGCTCTTACGGTGTTTTTCCTTAGCATGGCTAGTGAGAGTTCCGTCACATTGTCCCGGCGGCAGTCGCGGGGCCGTGGAGGTCACCCGGCCGAAATGTAAACAAAAACACCGCCCGCCTCCAGCCAAAGAATGTCTCCGTCCGCTCCAGCGTTTCGTTTCCGCTTTCGTTTTTCCCGAAAATCAGAGTGCACGCCCACGAACCGTGCTCGTTTGGATCGGAAACGGCGAAACTTTCAACATTTCAACAATTTTCGTAGGTCAGAGATCACTTGAGACAAGACAATGCACGAGGTGAAGCATTCTGATTCGTGTTTTTGCTGCATGATCTGACGTAGAACACAACTTGCGCTACGAAAATTAGTGGAATTAAACCGCAACCAAGATCTATCAACGATTTTATTCAGCATCGTTATGACAAAATTGAATTTCCGGCTCTTCAGAAGAATCAGAATCTACGTGATTCAAGTGCGCACAAGTTCTGGTAGGCTCCTTATTCGTGGTTTTCCTTACCGTGCAGGGTTGACATTTTTCATTAGAAATAAAACATTTTTTCGTGTGAAATATTTAATGAAATTTCAGGAAAATATGAAAGATATTGGAAAATGTTTTTCGAAATTCAATGAAAAACAAAATGGTTTTTGCTTATCGGTGTTTTTTCGTGCGTGGTCTGAGTTCCTTAAAATGGGTTTCATTTTTTTCATATCTTTCAAAACTTTCTGTAATTTTATGAAAATCTGACTGAATTTTCCAATTTTTCATCTCACAGGTACAACCCTGCCACCTTGCATTGTTCAAAGCGCAAACGACAAGCGAGGCGCACTAAAATTTTTAAACTCACTTTAGTGGCATATTCGATCCCTCTCATTGTGTCGCTCGTGTGACGTTTCGTGCGTTTCCTCAACTCCTCGCGCCTTCCATAATGTCGTGCTAAGGAAGAACGCCGTATGTACATTCGAGAGTTGCCAAATTTCCCCGGATAAAACATCTGTTATCGAGAAAAGTCATGTATATTTTTCAGTGAGATTTTCACACATTTTAGATTAGATTGCGAATTAAATTAGCACCAAATTTTGAAGAAAAATATTCAAAATGTTGCCAGTAAATTGGTATTTTGTTGATGGAAATGTGGCAACGCCTGATGGTTCATACGGCGTTTTTCCTGAGCACAGGAGCATAACGGCGCTTCGTCCAGTCCGAGAGGTAGAGACGAGTCTCAGCAGGTTCGCCACCCGATCGCATTTTGAGGTTGACTCATCTGCGTTGAACGTGAGCCCTGACGGCCGTAAAACTCGACGTTTTCCAGGGCTCACGCGAGAACGGGGTTACGGCGTTACGCGAGCGTGGCGGCGGCGGCGACGCTGCGACGTGTCCGTCGGTCTAGACCGAAGGACGGAACGGTGGCGACGGTGGACGCGGTAGGCGACAGAGGCGCCTCAAGGTTGTCGCCGACTCCGGTGACGTAAAAGAAGAGCCTCTTTCTTATTCTCATTGTTGAGGGCGAGGGTCGCCAGACGAAATCAGGACGGCGAGAGACCCCGCGCTAATGACTTCCTCGCGTGCCCGAGTCCAAGTTGAGAGGAGACAATACCGATGACCGACGACACTCTCGTCTTCGGCCACCGGTCACCGGTCACCGGTGAGAGGAAGAGTGACGCGTCTCGAGTACTTTTATTGATGTCCCAAGCGCGAAACCACGTATTCAGGGTGTCTGCAGGTACGGAAATTCCGAAGAGTTTGGAAAAAGTACCGGTTTTTTGAGAAAGGTCTGGAAGCACTGAAAAAGTGCGGAAATTCCGCCAAAGGTCCGGAATTTTTTTCATTTTTTTGTCATTTTTGGCTCAATTTGAGCGAGAAATTCAAGCATTTGAAATTTTTCGAATTTGGTCCTATGGAGGTACTGAAAAAGCACTGAATTTTTCTATTGAGGAGGTACTGAATTTATTGAGAATGTACTGAAGAAGTACTGTAGAAGTACTGATTTTTGGCCGACCTGTTGTACTGTATTTTGGACTGTATTTTGTAATCTGGAACTACAATTTGTGGCTTTGTTTAGCAACAACGTATGTACCATTATGCACCATAAGTTTTTTTTTACAGATGAGCTGGAAATTATAGTTCTTAATTGCAAAATAAAGTTCAACCTTTGATTTAAACCTATGGGAAAGGATCAATAAACAGGGTGTTCGCAACCAACACCTTAATAATAATCGATCCTTTACCACAGCTTAAATGGGGAAATATCGAAAGTTGATAATTCACACCTCGCCACTGGTGCCCGTCCCGTGGGAAATCAGAAGCCAGTCCGCCTTCGGCATCTGCACCTCGAGTTATACGTCGCTTCGATTCCCGTTACAACTTTTACAAGTTAAAACGGTTGGAAGCTATTAAAAAAAGTGCCACTAGCCGGGAGTTTTGAAGTGGCAAGCCTCGATCTCGATGATTCCCGGAACCGTACGGTACGCACAAGTGGATGCTGGCGCGGTAGTAGTGGTGGAAGAGAGCGATAAAACTGTATCTCGGCCGACGAGTGATAAGACGACCGCTAATTAATTAGTAGCCGATAATTGATACCGCCTTCGCCTCCCAGCTCAACCGCTTCTCGACGCCGACCATCTCGGCTTCAAATGACGGGGTTTCCAGAATAAATCGATTCGATTAAATGGAAGAAATTGATTCGATTAAATGAGAAAAATGAATTCGACTATATGGAAAAAAATCGATTTGATTTTGATTCAAAATTTTTGAAAGCGGCAAAAAATCGAATATCGACTTCGGCAAAAATTAATTTTTTTTTAAAAGCGATTTTTTCTGGAATCGAAAATTTAGGGTACTATCACTAGCCGGTTGTCTACAGAGCTGGAAAATCGGGAAGATTAAGGGAATTTGACCACTGTCTGGAAAAGCGGGAAAAGTCGAGGAATTTGCGCGGTTTGAAAATTTAGCGGCTGTTTTCGCTCGTCACTGTATAATCTGCCGACTATGGCGCCCGCATGATACGAAAAACTGCTCTCTCAAAAGTTTCACTCATTTCATTCATGTCGTAAATTCCAACGCCACTGTAATTGAGGATATGTTTTTACGGGTCTACTTCTCTCTCCCAAGGATAGTTTTTCCTTAGATTTTTCCTATTTCGCTCATTATACTGCTCAAACCCGAAAAATCGGTGCTTTTTCTCAGGAAAACCCGGAAAAGTCAGGGAATTTCATCGTGACAATTTTTTTGTAGATACACCCTGATGGTTCTCACTATTGCTTTCACTATTTTCGGACGAGTCCTTTTTTTCTCGGTGTCCCCCCCCCCCCTCTTTTTTTAAAATCAAATCTAGGCACTCATAAAAAGGAGGCAATCTTTCTCATTTGGATTACGGCTCAAAGAATCGATGCCGATTTCGAATCGAACTCGAAGAATCGTTTTACAATCAGCATTTCTCATCTCGGGCGATTCTCGTATTGATCGTGGATCGTGGAGTCGCCCGAAGTGCAATTCATCTTGTCGCGGCGTCGTCGTTGTCGTCAGGGGAATCTTGCAACCGAGATGGCACCACTCGAGAGAAAGCTCCCAGCTCCCGGTGATGTGCCGTGCATTGCCGCGTAAACACTTGAGCAAACGAAACAGGGGCACAGCCAGGCAGCGTTGCCTCTACCCGTCTCCAGTAGTTTTTCGATTAATCGAATTTTTGAAAAATTGGAAGGGAATACATCAGGAGGGTTGCCACTTTATGCAAAGACTCCAAGGATCTAGTCTTGCCAATTATTATGATTGTCATACTTGTAAAATACCGTAATTCTCATTCCCATATTATTAAAATTATATTGACGTGATTTTTGTTTTTCTTTCAGACCGTGCCCCAAGCGAAAAGGAGGTCAGGGGAGGGCAATTAGAATTAAGGGCGTCTCTCACAACTAGTGGAGAAGGTAAGGCAAAATCTGATGTTCAATTTTTGCAGTACGATTTTATTTTATAGTGGATATTGAGATATTGAGATTCCGGTCGACATTTTGTCACCTTCCGCCCAAATTATGACAAGAGTCATGCGACGTTTAAACATTTTCGCCGCCATTTTATTTTAATAACGATAAAATAGTTGGTTGAATCTGTTTGAGAACACCGAATTTTATCGGCAGCACAAGCAAAATTCAGTAAAATTTCTGGACAGCTTCGTTGAGCAATTTCTCTGTAAAAAAATAAAATGGCGGCGGGACGCTTGTGATACTTTGGCTGGAACACTAGGAAAAAAAAAACACATTGGATCTAGAGTTTAGACTCTTAAAAACATTGACAAGAAAAAGGACTCTTAATTCAATCAGATCCAAGCTTAAATCAAAAGGAAATCCGCTCAAATTAAGAGGCTTGATTCTTGATTTAAGCTTAAATCTGATTGAATCAAGAGTATTTTTTCTTGTCGATGTTTTTAAGAGTCTGGACTCTAGATCCAATGTGTTTTTTTCTTTTTTTTTTCAGTGACGGTGACGATTTCGTATTCCGGCTTGGCACTACGTCAATCAAATTTTTGAAAAATTACAATTCAATTACCTACACGTTGAAGTGTTCGAAGGTGTAATTTCTATGCGTAACTCTCGAAAATAATTTTCATCTCAGCGTTACATCTCTCATGCTTTATTCTCATACGCCTACTTCAGCGGAGCGACGAAGTTTACAGTGTGTCAACTTCGCTAGCGCCACTGTTGTTCGTCGCCGCGATCTCTTATCAGCGCTGGGCGCCGGCCGCGCACACACCAACGCACACTTACAAGGGTCCACGCTACTTACTACACGCTCGAGCTCTCCTCTCGGTGGGTTTGGGTTGTTGGACGTTTAATCCCGGCTGATAACGCCCGGCGACCGGCGCCGATGTCAGCGTCGCGACGCCCGACGAGACCTCTGTGCAGCCGAATTTTACGCAACGGTTCACCGGACCGGGTATCAAGTCCAGAATCCATGTTTCGTACCTCCTGAACGACTGACATAATTTTTTTCGCGCCCCCGATGTGAGTCGCTCTTAGCAGAAACGACGCATGCGCTCACTGGAAAAAGAACACATTGGATCTAGAGCCCAGACTCTGGAAAACATTGACAAGAAAGAGGACTCTTGATTCAATCAGATTTAAGCTTAAATCAACAGAAAATCTGCTCTCATTGGAGGGCTTGGCTCTTGATTTAAGCTTAAATCTGATTGAATCAAGAGTATTTTTTCTTGTCGATGTTTTTAAGAGTCTGGACTCTAGATTTTTTTTGTTTTTTTTTCCAGTGCTGTTCGGTTTGTGCAACGACTCGTATAGTCGTTTCCCTCACTAAAGAACGTAACAGTGGCGTGGCGTGCTTTGCGATTTATCGATTGATCCGCTATTTAAACCTATGGAAAAGGATCGATAGACGTCGAAAGCGTTTCGATATACGTGCTGTAGAAAAACGACGCGTGAGCCATCAAGCGCTGTCGAATTTCCTTCGATATATCACGAATTTTCAGGGAAGCGAACGCATTTTTCTCCCAATCATTCAAAGAATTTCATGTTAAATTTTTTTACAGTATCAGAAAATTTTGTAGGACATTTATTTTATAGACTTTGTTTTTTCTCTAGAAAACTAGTCCACTACTTAATTTCTTGAAAAATTCATTGATTTGTCCTCTCCATCATCAGCACATTCCTCAGAAATGTCAAGCTATACAGTTGGCTTGTTTCTCTTCCAAAGAATACCAAACCCTAGGAAAAAAAACCACATCGGATCTCGATTCCAGACTCTTAAAACATCCACAATTAAAAATACTCTTTATTCGATCAGAATCTAGCTTAAATTAAGAACCAAGCCTCTTAATTCAAGCGGATTTCGTTTTGATTCAAGCAAAAACCCGATTGAATCAAGAGTATTTTTTCTTTTCAATGTTTTCAAGAGTCTGGACTCGAGATCCAATGTGTTTTTTTTTCCAGTGAAGGAGCAGAGCATTTGAAACACAGCAATGGACATACGTGGTTTGGCACTTAAGCCATCGATATGGCGTTTTTCCGCGTGTGGCGCCGAAACTTAAGTCAAAACGGCTCATTACGAACTGATTTAGGCGTTGACGTCATCGGGGGGGAGGCGGGGGGCGGGTGTCTGGGAGCCACGGCGACGCGCCGACCTTACCTTGCGACGTTGGCACGGGAAACGCCGCANGGGGCGTCGGTGGACGCAGCGCCGAAATCATACGGGTGATTGACATCATAAAAACGATCTTGGCAGGCGCCCCCGGCCCCCGTTCCGGGTCCGGTGCAAGGTTGACGAATTGGGCGATAAAGTGTTGACACTTTCCACGGGCCGAATGAGAATAAGTGATGATTTTTCGGCACTATTTGGCGATGAAAGTCCGGCGCCCAAGCGCCGGTGCGTGCCGCTCACGCCCGCCGCCCGGGCCGAGCGGGCTGATTATTGACATTGATAAACAAAGCCATAGACAAAAATGTTTTTCGGAAAATGGACCGAAATTAGTTTTTGTTAGTTTTCACTGGACAAAGATGGAAATGATAGACAAGCCCGCGGAAATTGTAAAGCTCTCATTTTTTTCTTTTTTTTTGAGACGTCCGGCATAAAATTGGTAAAATAAGCCCTTTCTTACTATCATTTTGCCAATGGAAAAAAAGTCATAACTTTTTGTGGAAGCACTTTTTCGGCACGCACGAAATCGTGGAAAAGAGAGAACTTCAGAGGCGGATCCAGCAATTTGGCAACACCGGATTCCCTCCATCTAAATCCATGTTTAATAATCGATCCTTATCGGATCACCTAGCCCCTCTAAAAATCGATACATTTCCATAGGTTTAAATGGAGAAAAACAATGTTGCCAATTTTCCGGATCCGCCAATGGGGAACTCAGCACTCGAAAAAAAAAAAATTGGATCTAGAGTCCAGACTCTTGAAAACATTGACAAGAAAAAGGACTCTTGATTCAATCGGATTTAAGCTTCAATCAAAAGGAAATCCGCTCAAATTATAAGAGGCTTGGTTTTTGATTTAAGCTTAAATCTGCTTGAATCACGAGTCCTTTTTCTTGTCAATGTTTTCAAGAGTCTCAAGAGTCTGGACTCTAGATCCAATGTGTTTTTTTTTTTTTTTCTCAGTGAGTCTCCCCTTGCAATCGGGGAGTGTGCCCAAACAAATCCGGAAAAAGTAGGAGAATGTATAAAGGAATGGAAATCGCAAGAATTCCCGGCACCGTGATACAGATCGAGTTTAAGTAGCGCCTCCTCTCGCTGAAAAATTTCTCAGTTTCCATTTAGGGGCTCCGTAACGACATCGTCAGAATCGCGATCGCCTCCGAGTCGAAACCGCGCTTGTGCGTGGGTTTTCTGGCAGTTAGGCTGTTCTACCCCAAGAGGACGGCACGATCCTTGCAGAGTTATGTGCTGTGATGCCGGGTTTCGCGTGCATCGGTCCTTCGAGCCGGATTCAATTAATTTTTAATCGAAGGCGGACGATAAGTATGATACGCATCGAATAAATTACTGGCAATTCCAAAGCCAGTTTACGGCCGACGGCTTTTCGCCGACGCGCCCGTCTCGTCACCGGCGCCGCGGCGCGTCGCCTTCCCGTTTGGATCTGAAGAAAGACTTATGCGCTAGAATTTAGGACTGCCGATATTTGTATGCGACCATACACTGGAAAAACAAACACATTGGAGTCCAGACTCTTAAAAACATCGACAAGACAAAGTACTCTTGATTCAATCAGAATCTAGCTTAAATCAAGAACCAAGCCTCTTATTTGAGCAGATTTCCTTTTGATTGAAGCTTAAATCTGATTGAATCAAGAGTATTTTTGCGTGTCAATGTTTTCAAGAGTCTGGACTCTAGATCCAATGTGTTTTTTTTTTTTTTTTTTTNGTCACAAAGACCTTCGTCCTCAAAAACATTAAATCGAGACATTGGTGCACAGGGTGGCATGGAATGAAACAAAACTTGCAGGGTGTCTACAAGTCCGGAAAGTCCGGGAATAGTACGTATTTTTAAGGGCGGTCCGGAAATATTTAAAAAGTGCGGGAATTCCGCAAGAAGGTTCAGAATTTTTTTCATCTTTGTCGCAATTAAAGCGGGAAATTCAAATTTTTGAAATTTTATGAATATCGTCAAATGGACCACATTTTGCAAGAAGGAACCACTATTTCTGGCTTATTTTAGAAACAGCATAGATGCCATCGGTTTCCCTATGCAGGAAGCTGCTTTAACGGAAGAGACAGAGATAGTGGTTCCTTATTGCAAAATGCAATCCAAATGAGAGTACTGAAAAAGCACTGAGTTTTTCCGTTGAGGAGGTACCGAATTTCTCGGAAATGTACTGAAAAAGTACTGTAAAAGCACTGATTTTTTGTCAGCCTGTTTTGGTGGACACCCTGGTTGGAAAAACTCCATGAAATTGAAGTATTTCAGAAGTTTAGTATCTCGGAGTATTTCGACGGAATCATGTTTCTACGCGCTTCACGGCCAACCGAGACAAATGTAGAAGTTTCGGTTTCCTTCAATTTTGCATCTCTGAACCACCCACTCTCGCCAATAGGATTCCTCCATTTGTCCATTGTCTCCTTCGTCCATAGCTTCGTCTATCAATCTCAATAACGAGGCCGCAGGACGGGTAAACTGCGCGGGGTCGCGAAGGTATTCGATCGACGGACTGCATTTCCGCCCGAAAATGGATAGGAATCCGGGCGGAGCGGCAACCCCGCAGACCGGTCACGTCACGAGAGCCGAGCCGGTCTCGACGACGGGGATGCTCCTCCGAGAGGGGGAGGGGGGCGATGTCCCCGTCCGATTGTTTTAACGAGCCCGAGAAGATAATTGCCGAAAAGCCGAACGAACCGGTTCCAGGTTCATGCATTTTTCCGGCCCGATGTGGCAACGCCGACGGCCTGTGGCCGAGTAGGACCGCAGGCACGCCGCATCGGGGT